AAAATAACTAAAAGTTTTTTTTTCAGTTGAAGCTTTTCTGTAATGTACTTTACAAGAATTTTAGGGGGGAAACGATTGTCTTTATAGAATATTTCTAATCTCAGGTTTTGAATCTAGATGAAGAAAATCAACTTTGCAGGCAACCCTATCAAAAGATCAAGACATCAGTTTTGTAAAACACATTTAGACATTGTTTTAAACTGAGCCAATTTTGAAACTGATACTAGAACTTTTAAAAGCAGAACTACACACACAGTGATCAGCAGCAACACACATTTTAGCATTTAGATCCAGCATACCATACAGCAACTAAAACCCATTCTCAGTCACACGGGCTTTAGTTAAGACACATACTGTCTCTATATGTTCTGGATCCTATTTCTTCTATCGTCTTACAAGTTTTATGGTTTCTTCCTCTTTTTTCCCCCCACTCATTTACTTAGTTATTTTATACAAACAAGGGGGAAATAAGAGAATGGCTCTCCATGAAGGTAGGGATGGGCTGTGGCTGATGTATGAAATGGTGACAGCTTACTCATTGTATTGAATTTTTTCTTTAAGATAAGGATTTATGACATTAAAATATTTGAGCCATTGTGCAATTCCTTGGTACATATCCTACTCTAACACTTCCAGAATGTGTTTTCTCTGGTTGCCTCCAATCACAACTGTGTTTCCTGTCAATTTCAGCTCCACCCCTAGCCTAGATATTGTCTCAGGGATTTACATGGCTGGACTTACATACTATCACGCCAAAACTCCTGCTTCTTTATCAAAGCTTTTAGCACCTCATATCTTACTTCTGCTCAGTGTCAGTGCTGAAAAATTCCTTCTGTTGCCTCTTTCCATTTTTAAAGAAGGCAAAGTTGTAATTTTTACTGGACATTTTTTCCACTCAAGCACCTGGAAATCCATATCTGTTTGGAGGAATGCTGTCTCAAAGCAAATAAGGGCAAAACTGGAGAAATGACTGAGTAGACCTAGCTGGTTAACCAACATACTCTAACATCAGTTTACTACACACTGAGTGATAGTGAAACTGGACCAACTAACTGTAATCATACTCCTGTATGCTGGTTATTTAGGTTATAATACATGCAAATTTTAAATTATTTGCTCTGTTTCCTGGTAGAAAGAGAAGGCTTGCAGCATTTTACATATCATAGAATCATAGGGTAGCTTGGGTTGGAAGGACCTTAAAGATCATCTAGATTCAATCCCCCTGTCATGGGCAGAAATACCTTTCACTGGATCAGGTTTTCTCAGAGCCCCATCCTGGGGAGCCAGCCTTGAACACTTACAGGGATGGTATACCCACAATTTCCCTGGGCAAATTGTTCCAGTGCCTCACCATGCTCACAGTAAAGAATTTATTGTTAATATGTAATCTAAACCAATTCAGTTTTAAGCCATTCTACCTTGTCCTGTCACTACATTCTCTTATGTCTCTCTACCTGGAGGGTTTCCTTCAGGTACTGCAAAGCTGCAGTTAGGTAGTCTGGAATGCTTCTCTTTTCCAGGCTGAGCATTCCCAACATTCTCAACCTTTCCTCATAGGAAAGGTGGTCATGACCCTCCAATCACCTTGGTGGCCTCCTCTAGACTCGCTCCCACAGTTCCATGTCCTTGCTGTGCTGGGACCCCAGAGCTGGATAGATATACTGAAGTCACTTTATAACATTAGGATACCTGTGTGTCTCAAAAGTATTTTTACCTTTTCTTTCATTTTTAGAAGAGTCACTCCTAAAAAGAGTATGGTTAATATCTCCTAATACAGAGATATTAATCACTGTATGTAAAAGAAGTTGTAACCTAATTTCAAATTTGGAATGCATACACAAACTACAAAATTATATTTAATTTCTTTGAGGCAGGCACTATTTCTGTGTCAAACACAATATTTATTTACTAATTATCATTTGCTACAAAAATCCTGGAATTTTTTCTTTTTGGTTCAGGCACATACAGACTCCTTCGCACTTCTCCCATTTGCAACACTGATGTTTTCCAATCACCCCAACATGCAATGAAGAAGTCGGTAGGAAATGTTTTCTCCCGCTTAACTTCTACTTAACTGTATGACTTCACATTACCCTGTGTCATGAAACTAAAAGGTAAACAGTATCAATTACGTACCCTTGCTATTAGAACCTTAAAATAACAATGCAAATACTAAGCTAGAGCTTTGTGATCAAATGATTTGACCATGCCTCAAATAAATATTAATAATTGTGTATTGTACTATCCTACACCATACAAAAGATTAGGGAAGGATACTTCAAAGCCCAAGGTTTCTTTTTCTCATGAGAGTGGTTGAAAGGCTTAAATCCAACTGCAGAAATTTATAATGTTTTTCTGTAAAAGTAGTACAGCTATTAAGAACTCTTTTTTGTAAAAACACTTATAGAAATACCAGCTGAGACATCTAGTGAGCTGTCCTCCTCCACCAAAATTCTCTTCTTTTATCAAATGCAAGGAAAACTACTGTCAAACTGAACTACAAAACTGTTTCCCTACAATGAGTTGGTATTTTACTTTTTCTTATGTTAGAAATTAAGAAGATGATACTGTAAATCCTTGCAAGATGAGAAGTTTTCATTCCTATGACTGAACCTTACTACTGAAATCCACAAACACCTGCAAGTCCATCTTCAGCTTCATAACAGATACCTTGAAGGGTATAAGCACTCTTGCCCCAATGAATCAACTCACTAAAGCACACGCTTACAGTCAAGAAGTAGTTTTTAGAAACAGCTAGCAGTTTATTTCAAGCACTATATAACAGAGAATACTCATTTGGGATGATTTTTCTGTAACTATTACTCACATTCATAGGTAACTCTTGTATTCCTTGTAATTACGATATAAACCCTGACAAGTTCCTCTTTTCAGCTGTGCTATTCTGGAGCTAAACACATGTAACTGAAGGCTGACTCTCGCACGCTCTGTGTAATGTGTACACAACAGATCTTGGGGTATTGACCCAAAAGTCTATAAAGCTGGAAAAAGGATAACACTACCTAGAATTTTAAGTAGATGCAGATGCAAACAGATTTTTTACACTTATAGTATTCAAATCAGAAATGGCATTGGAGTCATTGTTTTCTGCTAAATACTGCATCTTGAAAAAGGATTACGAAAAAAAAAAGAAGTGCAATTTGCAAAAAAAGGAGAAAATTATCATCGAGAGACTGTGACTTCTGAACATAACATACATTTCATAAATTATTTCTCTCACTTCCAATACTTCTGTCCTAACAGATACAGAAGTAAAGATGGGAGACTAAGAAAATTGCTGTAGATTTTTTTCTTTTATTTTTTGGCCATTGGTATCTTCAAAGGTGCTTAAGACAAGCGTATAATGTCACCATCAGTCTTCTAAATTGTTATTTTGTGCTCAACATAAACTGCTGCCTAATTCTAAAAATAAATTTGTTTTTTGTCTTCCTGTGGCTTTGGATGTAATTCTGCTCTTCTACCAAATTGCAACAATGTGCAAAAGGGAAACCTGCACAGTTCACCCTTGCTTTGACAGAGTGCTAATATTTTTTAACTGAAAAAACCCCTGATCATGTCAACATGTATTTATCATGGTATTTTGTGGTGATTTTAAGTGATTGTGAAAACCAAAAGAATTATATACTTTTATCTATTTCAGCAAATTTTTACAAGAATCACATCTGATTTCAAACTCTTTAGTTAAAACATACATATCTATGACTACAATCTTTCTCCCTCACAAGATAACTGTCACAAAATAAAGAACATTCAAACTTCCTTATTTATCTCTCAGTGCTCAACAGAGGGATGAAGAAAAAAAAAAAAAAAAGAAGTCACAGTTCCTCTACAGGACTGTCTCAATCTACACTGCTACACTGTATGGCCTCCAAGCCTGTAAAAATACAGAGCTTTGCATGCTGAAACTACATGCATCTGTACCGGATGGCTGTGTCCATGGATTACTCCATGGATTCAAGCCAAGGACTTAGGAGATCTATGCTTCTGTGGATAAAAAGACCAAGAAAGAAACCTAATGGAAAAGAACATTAAAAAAAATCCTATAAACTGTTAATGCCCCAAAGAAGAACAATTTAATTTTAAATTTACCTTAAATAAGTGTTTTACAATATATCATGTAACTTGACCAGATTAGGACTCCACTTGCCACTCTTCTAACGGATTGTTTCATCTAACAAAAGTCTTGTTTTACTTTGTCCAAGAAAACATCACTAAACATCACTTCAAACTATTCTAGACAGTTGGAACATAAAGTGCATGCAGCACTTTAACAAAGATAACTGAATAATGCTGGCAAAACACAAAAGTAAGAGAAATTTCTCTGACTAGAGAATCGACTACCAGTGATACAAAAACAACAGTTGTTTTCTTGGAAACAAAACAGGGAAGTTTGGTAAGAGAACGCACTTTTTAAAAGATTTTTTTTTTTTAGTCATAATTCTTTCACAGGCTACGTACCATTCAGACAGCAGACCTACTTTTGTGCACACTTGGCTCTGTTTAAAACCTGCCAGCGCAGTAATGTCTCGCAGCAAAGCAAAATCAATTTTCTTTTGCACCTAAGCTTTAGATTTAAATTCCTGAGACGCTGGGCTAGTGGTATTTATTTTCGAAGCACCGCAATACAGCAAGGTTTCAGGCTGGTGGTGCGTTTCCAGCCGCCCGCTCCCGCCCCGACACGAGCGCTCCTCTCTGCCGCCGCTCCTTAGGACTCTCCCGTGTCCCAGGTGCTCCAGCCTCCCTCCCGCCCTCTGCTGAGCGCTCGGGCTCTCCTTTCTGCCGGTGTCCGCGACACCCCAACCCCGCACCGGGGGCAGCAGCGCCGCCCGCTCCTGTGGCTCCGGCCGCGTCCCCGATCCCAGCCCCGTTCCCATTCCCGACCCCGGCCCCGTTCCCATTCCCAGTCCCGGCGGGGAAGGGCCGGCGGCGCCGGGCCGGTGGCCCTGCGGCTCCTTGTGCTGGCGGCCGGGGCCACTGCTCACCGCTGCCTCGGGGTCACTCTGCTCCGCGCCGCCGCCTCCTTCCGGCAGGCAGCCCCCGGCGAGCGACTCTGGCGGCCGGACCGGGGCCGGACCTTCTCTTAGCGCCGCCGGATCCGCCGCTTCCTCGTTTTCGCTCGCAGCCGCGGCCACTTCCTCAGCGCGGTGCGGGCGAGCGCTCCCTCCTCTCCAGAGGGCGCGGCTGCGGTCCCCCCGGACCCGTCTTCGGCCGGAGCGAGGGCCGGGCACCGCTGCAGCCCCCGGGCCCGACGGCGTCGCTTCTCCGCGGGCGAGGGACCGTCCGTCTCCTGCGGACCCCGTGGGAGCTGCTCGGGACCCGTGACGTGGGTCCCCTGGTGCCGCCTGACGGGGCTGTCCCTGGGACCCCGCGGTGCCGGGTCTCCTTGGGAGCCCGGCTTGGGCTCCCTGTAGCGCCCGTGTCGCCTCGCGGGCATCTGGCTGTGCAAGATGGAGCTGTCGTTGGTCAGCACCACGCTGGGGACTGAGGATCGAAGTGTGTCAGTTGCGGCTTCTGGAAAGGGAAAAAACGAGTGTGTGCATATTGGTGCATATGCCAATTGCGAATTGGTGCATTCTGGAATATTGAAGTTCTTTGGTGCTTTGTGTGTACTTCGCCGATGAAAGGACTCCGAGGGGTTTCCTTTTGCAGTAGCAAAGGGGCCTACCATAGCACAGTATCACCCTTCCTGCTGTATTTCACGCAAAGATTTCTCCCATATTTCAATCAAACATTTGTAGCAACTCCAGATGTAAAGGAGACTCCAGTGTCCAAGATGCTTAGCTTGAAGGAAAGTCCCTCTTCAAGGCCTCCTCAGCACCCTGTGTGATGGAATTAATTCCTGTGGAAGCTGAGACCAAAAAGTGCCGCTGTTTTTCACCCGTGACTGCCCAGGGTCGAACCACTCCTGATGCAGGTCATTCAGGACTGGCTGGCACGAGGGGCCTTGGGTGAGGCTGGATTGGGCAGGTCTCCTTCAGCAGTGACTGTGCTGCATGACACAGTGTGGTGTCCCGTGATGGGCAGTCCTTGCAACAGGAAAAATCCACTTCCTTCTTCCCCATAATAAATTGGTATTAGCACTATTGTGGGATACAGGCATTATTTTCCGTCAAAACACTGTCTCTCTTTCCTTATTGCAAAATGGACTGTACATCTGATATTCAATAAAGCTGCCAAAGTACAAATATCTCACATTTCATACCATTTAAAAAGGTCTCAGGTTTTGGTTTGTTTCAGTGAGACTTTTGGCAATTGCTGTAATGGTAGTGCATTTCTTATTGGCACTGTCTGTGTGTTAGAAAAAAGAGAATAGCTTAGAAAATCTAATTCTTAGACCAGTTTTCATGGTCTTGTTCTTTTCCTATCAACATCCAAGTGTGAGCAGATCTGCAGGAAAAGCTTTTGGAAAGTCACTATTGGACTTTGAACTGTTTTTTAAGGGGAAGTCTTACCTTAAATTGGTAAAAAAAATCACCACTACTGCATAAGCAATTGTACTGGACCTTGCTGGGAAGGAATTAGCTTTCATTACAGCAGCCAATATGGTGCTGTACCTTTGATTTTGGCTAAAATAGTATTGATACCACACTAACAATTTGTCTGTTCCTGTACACTACTTACACAATGTCAAGGCTTTCTCCACTTTTCACTTTACCCCTGTCCCCAGTGTGTAAGCTAGAGGTTCACAAGAAGCTGGGAAGGGACAGAGCTGGGGCTGTTGCCTGCAAGTGAACAAAGGAATAGCTCTTATCATGATTAGCACTCAAAACTGGGTATAGATATAGAAGGAGGGTGGAAGGATGTGGGCTACTTCCAAGGCGGCCACTAATCTGATACTTGCTCATTGTCATTCTGCTTGTGGGAGGTGGTGGGTGACTGTCTCTGCATCATTTGATGTGGTTGTGATCTTGTTGTTTTCCCCTTCACCTATTAGATTATGCTTATCTTGATGCATGGCTTCTTTTGATCTCCCTTCTCTGTCATCAGTCCCACTGGGCAAGGGGAGTTGAGCATTTGGCTCTGTGCTGTGTGCTGCTGGCTCAGGTCAGCTTATGGCACCAGTGTAGGGGAAATCCAATAAGTGAACCAAAGAATTTTTAGTCTGTCCACAGTTTACTTTTTCTTTCATTTCATATGAGATTTAATACAAATAGCTGAGTTCTGTGATACTGATTTTTGGTAAGGTGCTCACAACAGTGGGGTATCTTATTTAATGTGTTACATATAGTGTTGTATATTAGCATATCCTAGCATATATATATATTATCATTCTGATAATAGCTTTCCTTTGACGTGTGGCCAGCTCTATTTAAGGCCAGCAACCAATAAAGTAAAATATTTCCTCCTTTTTTTCTGGAAACTTTTAATAAGTGTAAATCTGGATTTTCTGGAAAGAAATGTGCAAATGTGTGGATTTTCCTATCCAACATGAATATATACAGTAAAAATTAATAATTTTTACGTGGTGTCTAAATAGTTGTGCAGTGTAATAACTCCAGCTTTTAACTTTGTAATACTCCATACTTTTTGGGAGTGTCTGAGAGAGTTTCAATGCTTTCACTATGGCAATATATTTTGAAAGACCTCTGCTTTCAGCAGTCATGATTGTTTGCTTAAATGATTTATTAGAATATTCTCAGACCTCATTTCTTTGCTATACTGACTCTAGGATCAGTAAAATTTATAAGGATAAATTATGCAATTGAGCCTCTCAAAAATTTGCAAATTTGAATAAAGTGACTATTCTGTTGCCTTCCTACTGCTTCTGTTGCCCTCCTTCTGTCTTCATTGTTACAGGGACTGGGTGGTTTGGAGAAAATACAGGTAGGTAGGTTGGAATAAGACTTTTCTTCAGCAAAGCTGTCATACTGAGGTGTTATTTTTTATTTCATTCTCCAAGAGGGAATTTTTAGGTTGGATTCCGTCTTACAAGTGTAGGCAACTTTTGCAGATGCAGTTTGCCCTGCTAGAATTCTGCTGGAGCACAAGGGGTAGTACTGTGGCTTGCCCTTTGGGTAATTGCAGGCTGAAGGTGGGCATTTTCTGCAGTGCCATCTCCATTTCTATAGTAGGGAATGCTGAAGTTAAACTGATGCTTTGTTGTCTGATTAAATGTGAAATTCCCTAAAATGCATAGCAACAAGAGATACAATGCCACTGACAAGACAATTTTATTTGAGGTTCAAATTCTCAACGTGACCATATCTACAGCTAAAAGTAAAGGGTCTCTGTGATAGAAGTTAGTGTCAGTAAGACGGGACTGCACATCTCTAAAAAAAGAATGCAGAAGTGATGCATTTTGCTTAAGGCATATAAAAGTTCTGCGCAGATCATTGAATTCAGTCATGGTTTGAGCAAAAAATATGTTCTATTTGGGAGTTATTTATTACCTGCTTCATTTTAATTTTGATAGAAGCAGTGATGCTGTGATGGCACAATAACAGAGAACAACATTTAGAGAAAATCATCAATAGCCTGAAAGCAATGTTGTGACATGAAAGCAAATGTCATAGAATCATAGAATCACTGAATGGTTTGGATTGGAAATTACCTTAAAGATCAATTCAACCTTCTGCCACAGGCAGAGCCACTTTTTACTACAGATGTCCTGTATTAGAGTCAGAAAAACTGTCAGAAGCTTCAAAAAGTAAAGACCATAATCTCAAATATTTTGGCCCCCTTCTGTTATCCAAGGAGTTGCAAAGATCCCTGTTTTGTGTAAGAACCAGGACTGAAATATTTCATAGATTTTAAATACAAGGTATATGTGTTCCATAAGGTTTTCACGTACTTACAGATCACTAGTGGAAACACTAGTGGCAATCCCTAGGGGAAACTCACTACTCTTAAACAGAAGTCAACTGGGGGAGATGTCCAACAAATCAATTTAATTGCTTGCTCATTATAAGAATCTATAAATTATGACTGTTTTGGTTACATAGTAATTTACTGCTTTGACCAGAAATGTCAGTAGCAATACTCTTTGCTATATGAAATCAAGAGTAATAAGAAAATTCAGGGCTGTGAAGGTATTTTCTGTATGAGTTCATAGTAATTGTAATTATATCTGTGTTATTTTATATCTATATAAATATGACTGTTTTAATACTATATTTTTTGCATGCAATAGCCACATTTATCACCTTTCCCTCTATTTTTGACTCAAAACAAGAAATGTGTCACACTTTAAAATGTCGATCATTTTGCTCACCAGTGATTGAGAGTAGTTGTAGGATGTACTTTTTACACACTAAAGAGTGTGACATGAGGAGGTATGATGTCTAAATTTAAAATTTTATGTGGGGCAGTGCCAGCTGAGATTGTAGATTAGTTGAGAAATGATGTGTTTTGAGCCTAGATGGCTTTACAAAAGACGTACTTACATGGAAATGAAGACTTAGGCCAGTCTGGTCTTTATGACTTACTCTGCAGCTTGCCTATGACTAGTTATTGGTTCTAGCTTTTGTTTTTATAGAAATGATGTGTCTTTTTAAATGAATGTTAAAGAATGGTGTGTTGCATAAAAAACACTGGCTGAAAGAAGGAAAAGCATACGCAATAGCAGGTTATGTTTGGACAAAAAACCAGGGCTTTCTTAAAAGTAAATATTTCTGTAAAATAATTACCTAATTGTAGCACAGAAAATAACTATGGGCAACAAGGAGATGACAAACTGATTTTTAAGAAGATTTGAGCAAAATTCTTAGGAAGAATTTATTAGCATTAGCAATCTCTGCTTTGAATGAAAACCACCATGAAGGTGAAAAAAAAAAAAAAAAAGAATACGTAATCATCTTTTAACAATCAGAAGACTGAGTAACTATGGGGGGATTCTCTTTCAGCACCATTTCCAGGGCACTTCAGTACTGTAAAGTGCTGGATATGTCCATAGCCTCTGACAACCGTCTTGGACTGTCACAGTTGGCAAAAAGAACAGTGTTGGAAGCACTTGAGTCGGAGCTTATGATTGCATTGACATGTAGTTACACCATCAACAGAAGTCTTTTTTCCTTTCCTCG